GAGAGTCCATTCCAAGCTTAGTCAGTAGTTGTTGGCAGGTCTCAGGGTCTCTCTGGCTGTTAGCCCAAGTCACCAGTTCCTTGTCATGTGGCCCCTCCATAGGGCTACTGACCACATGTTAGCTTGCTTTCCCCAGAATGAAGGCAAAGAGAGAGAGAACACAAGATGAAAATTACATCTTCTTTCTGTATGCTAATCTTAGAAGTGCCATCCCATTACTCGTGCCATATTCTATTTGTTAGAAGCAAGTCACTTTGGGCCAGGCACGGTGACTCACGCCCATAATCCCAGAACTTAGGGAGGCCAAGGTGAATGGAACATTTGAGGCCAGGAAAAAAATGACCCGGGTGTGGTGGTGTGTGCCTGTAATTCTAGCTACTGAGGAGGCTGAGTCACGAGAATTGCTTGAACCGAGGAAGCAGAGATTGCAGTGAGATCACATCACGGCACTCCAGCCTGGACAACAGAGCACGACTCTGTCTCAAAATAAAACAAAACAAAACAAAACAAAGAAAAGAAAAAAAAACATTGGCTGGGTGTGGTGGCTCACACCTGTAATCCTAGCACTTTGGGAGGCCAAGACGAGCGGATCACGAGGTCAGGACATAAAGACCATCCTAGCCTCCTGGCCAACATGGTGGTGAAACCCAGTCTCTGAAAAAAAAAAAAAGTTGGCCATTTTCCAACTGCGCTTGATGAGGCGGAGCCACCAGAGCGCGGCCCAGGCCGGCCCTGCGGGGCGGTCGCGGTCGTGCTCCAGCCCGGCTCCCCTTCCGCGCCCCTCCCGCCGTAGATGAGGGGAAGATGTCCGTGTCAGGGCTCAAGGCCGAGCTGAAGTTCCTGGCGTCCATCCTCGACAAGAACCACGAGCGATTCCGCATCCTCAGCTGGAAGCTGGAGGAGCTGCGCTGCCAGGTCCTAGTGCCCGGCCAGGCTGCCCCGCCGGCCGCTCACGCTCCACGGCAACATCACGGAATCCGATCCAACTTCTTCACCGAGATGGTTTGCGGACTCTGATGACCCAAATCTGACATGAGTTCTGGGACGTCTAGAAGACGCTAAGAACAACAATTCGCTTTGTCAGCAATTGAAGTGGTTGATATGTGAACCCTGCAGATTATATAACCTTCCTAAGCACCTGGATGTTGAGATGCTAGATCAACCACTACCCACGGGTCAGAATGGGACAGCAGAAGTGACTTCAGAAGAAGATGAAGAAGAAGAGATGGCTGAAGATACAGAAGACTTAGATCACTATGAAATGAGGGAAGAAGAGCCTATTAGTGGGAAACAGTCAGAGGATGAAGGAATTGAAAAAGAAAATTTGGCAACCTTAGAGAAAATTAGGAAGACTCAAAGGCAAGACTATTTAAATGGTGCGGTGTCTGGGTCAGTGCAAGCTTCGGATAGACTTATGAAAGAGCTCAGGGACATATACCCATCACAGAGTTATAAAATAGGGATTTATTCAGTGGAACTCATAAATGACAGTGTATATGACTGGCATGTTAAACTGCAGAAGGTAGACCCTGATAGTCCTTTGCACAGTGATCTTCAGCTCTTAAAAGAGAAAGAAGGCATAGAATATATATTGCTTAACTTCTCTTTTAAGGATAACTTTCCATTTCATCCTCCATTTGTTCAAGCGGTATTACCTGTTCTCTCAGGAAGGTATGTATTGGGCGGAGGAGCATTACGTATGGAACTTCTCACAAAACAGGGCTGGAACCGTGCCTACTTGATAGAATCGGTCATCATGCAAATAAACGCCACCTTAGTCAAAGGCAAAGCCAGAGTGCAGTTTGGAGCAAATAAGAATCAGTATAATCTAGCAAGAGCCCAACAGTCTTATAATTCCATTGTANCCCTCCCGCCGGAGATGAGGGGAAGATGTCCGTGTCAGGGCTCAAGGCCGAGCTGAAGTTCCAGGTGTCCATCTTCAACAAGAACCACAAGTGATTCCGCATTGTCAGCTGGAAGCTGGACAAGCTGCGCTGCCAGGTCCCAGTGCCCGGCCGGGCTGCCCGCGCTGGCCCCTCACGCTCCACGGCAGCATCACCGATTCCGATCCATCTTCTTCACCGAGATGGTTTGCAGACTCTGATGACCCAAATCTGACATCAGTTCTGCAACCTCTAGAAGATACTAAGAACAACAATTCACTTCTTCAGCAATTGAAGTGGTTGATATGTGAACCCTGCAGATTATATAACCTTCCTAAGCACCTGGATGTTGAGATGCTAGACCAACCACTACCCACGGGTCAGAATGGGACAGCAGAAGTGACTTCAGAAGAAGATGAGGAAGAAGAGATGGCTGAAGATACAGAAGACTTAGATCACTATGAAATGAGGGAAGAAGAGCCTATTAGTGGGAAAAAGTCAGAGGATGAAGGAATTGAAAAAGAAAATTTGGCAATCTTAGAGAAAATTAGGAAGACTCAAAGGCAAGACCATTTAAATGGTGTGGTGTCTGGGTCAGTGCAAGCTTCAGATAGACTTATGAAAGAGCTCGGGGATATATGCCCATCACAGATTTATAAAATAGGGATTTATTCAGTGGAACTCATAAATGACAGTTTATATGACTTGCATGTTAAACTGCAGAAGGTAGACCCTGATAGTCCTTTGCACAGTGATCTTCAGCTCTTAAAAGAAAAAGAAGGCATAGAATATATATTGCTTAACTTCTCTTTTAAGGATAACTTTCCATTTGATCCTCCATTTGTTCAAGCGGTATTACCTGTTCTCTCAGGAGGGTATGTATTGGGCGGAGGAGCATTACATATGGAGCTTCTCACAAACAGGGCTGGAACCGTGCCTACTTGATAGAATCGGTCATCATGCCAATAAACACCACCTTAGTCAAAGGCAAAGCCAGAGTGCAGTTTGGAGCAAATAAGAATCAGTATAATCTAGCAAGAGCCCAACAGTCTTATAATTCCATTGTACAGATACATGAGAAAAATG